TTGAAAAATAAGAGGTGATCTATTCACCCCCCCCCCCCCCCCTCTCGATCACTTGCCACACCGTCTAACAGACTCCTACCCAGATTTGTCATTTTTCTCTACTATATTGGCCCATGCCTTCTTGAGGAATTTTGTGGCATAAATAGGGGACAAAGATTGGTTTACTTTTTGGATCATAATCTCATATTCAATTGTGTCAATTTCCTCTAATTTTTTTTCTTTGACAAACTTTGGGTCAACAAACATTTGATCCTGATCAAAATTAAGAGATTCATCAATAATCCCCACCAAACCTGTGTTAGAGGCTTTCTCAGCGTTGATGTTGGCATTTACTACATCATTGATTACATATAACTATGTTGTTTTGTTAGTTTGAATGACACGACCATTCCTTTTGTCTTTAGATACCACATATGTTCCTTGTGGAACCATGTTTTACATGTTAAGTAATCAAGGAAGCTTTTGAAAACTTGTTCTTAATGATGGATATGATTTTTATGATGTCAACCAAATTCAAACATAATAAACAGTTAAATATACAAGTAGACTAAGTAGGTTTTGATGATCAATGTAAACATCCTCTGAAGATGGCACTCATCTGGAGCAAAACTCAAGCATCATCTTCAAGAAGAAATCAAAAAATTTTCTATAGTATTGGATTAACTGAAAAGTCTTGAAGTTTTAAAGTGTGAAAGAGAGGAAGTTTGAAAGATTGCCATGTCACATATGATTGAACAGTATGTTGTAAAAGCATAAGATTTTTTTCATAAATTTATACGGATAACACACACACTAAAACATGTTTTAAGCATATTTTTATTAAATAATTATTCCTAAAAATATCTCGAAGTCATGTCAGTTGAATCAAGAAACATCTGAATGATTTTAGATAAAAAAATTTACTGTCCAATCGATTGGTACTTATACCAATCAATTGATTTAGTGCAAAAACCGTCCTTAAACTTTTAGGACATCGACTTAATGAATGAAAATGGCTATATATCCTTTATTTCATTTTTAAACATCCTAAACATTTATTTAAGGCCTTCCAATAGATTGGACCAAGGTGCCAATCGATTGACACATTACTTTTCACCCAAGAAATTTTCCTTTTTTGTGCCAACCTCTAGCCTATAAATAGAGGTTCTTCCCATCAGAATTTCACATCCATAATTGTGAGTATTCTATCTCACACCTCACTTACTCTCTATAAAATATTTTTCAACTTTCTCTCACATAAATTTAGGTGCAGCACTTCAAATAAGTTATTTTGCTTAGTGAGGCATGTTTGTAATTCTTGAAGGGCGTTCTTGTAAATTTACAAAGGAATATTTTACATTGGTTGAATAATTTATCCACGAGGGATTGTGTATTTGGGTTAAAAGTTGAACCCGTTAAAAGCTTTGGTGGGGAGGTTTAGATTTTAAGTCGACGTTCGGTTCATAAGCTAAGTCTGATCAAAAGCTTACTTTGGTTTGGGATCAACCTGATTCAAAAGCTCAATTGGTTTGTAGTTATCTTGGTAAAAACCTTGGTTGAACCTAAGCTCATTCTAAATAAAAGCTTGCTTTGGTTCGAGATAAGCTCAATATAAAATCTCAGTGGTTTGTAGTCAGTCTGTTTAAAACCTCGATTTTTGGTTCATGAGTTCAGCCCGGTTAAAAAGTTCACCTTGGTTTGAGATAAGCCTGTGGAAATTCTCAGCTTAACTTGGGGACTAACCATTTTAAATTTTTGTTTGGAATAAGTCTAACCGCTTCAATCCACTATTTAGAAGGAAGACTAACCGCTTCTCTCTAGTGTTCATTGTTTAGTTAGAAGTTAGTATGAAACTTCATTTTTCCTTGTATAAAGAAGTTCAAGAGTTCAACCTACTAAAAACTCTTCAGAGTTATTGGATACTCCAAGATCAAATTTCAGGGAGAGGATTAGGTCACTTCATTTTTATGGAAACTTTATAATTCATAGTGTTACTTCTCTTATCTTTAACTTTTTATTTTCTGCCTAATTTTTCCACTACTAATTTCTTAAATCTTTTTCAAAATGTTTTTAAACTCTAAAAATAATTGTGAAATTTTTTCAAATTACCGTTTTTCTGAATAACACAATTCACCCCCTCCCTCCCCCCCCCCCCCCCCCCCCCCCTTGTGTATAGAGTTACATCAAGGACCTTATATACTTCAACAAGGACCTTATATACTTGGTCTTGCTTCAGGTAAACATCAATCATAACCCTAATAAAGTGCCCTAAATCTCTATCGAACATAGGTCTAATTGTAACATTATTAATGCAAATAGGTGTTCCAAAGCTACTTGGAATGGAAAATAAATCCTAGGTCTTCAATACTTTTGCGCCAAACCAAAGATTCTTAATCAAACCTGAAAGGTTGATTGATGTTGTAAAATGGGATTGAAATCACGAGTCCATGTTAAAATATTAAGTGTTCCTGGAGCCAGATTCACTAATCCCAAACTCTCAGATTTTGCATATCTTTCATTTTAGAAAAAGATAATTCATAGAAATCTTTTCCAAGTAATGTGACTCCCAATTTTCAATAGCCTTCTAGAAAATAGAAAGCTTAACATGTAACACATCGATTTTGAGAGGTGATACCACTTTGGTCCAAATGATATGACTGTACGGGTTATTTTTCCAAGCCTCGATGCAACTAAATATTTATGTTTAGGGATGGTGATGGAGATTATATCACAAACATTATTCAAAGCTTTAGAAAATGAATTTGTGATTCGTGGAGGCGGTTTAGCTATGTGTGAGGGTTCTCCAGATTCATTCAGAGGCACATACGACCATATAATGAAGAATGAAGCCATTGACGAAACTTTAAGGAAGAGAAATATAGGGTTTTAAGGTTTCAAACACAGGGGAAAAGCACGTCAGAGAGTCTCTCTCCTCTCTCTAATAACATTTTCAACTCCTTCTTTTAGTCTGTTTAATTAGATGATCTAAGCTCAATATAAATATTGAAGATGATATTAATTTTCATTCAAAAAGTCTCACGTATTTTGCTAATGAGCTTGTCCTATTCATGTTTAGTATAACCTCATTTTTTTATGATGGAGAAAATTTCTATATGATAAATTTATAGCCTATTTGATCTTATTTTTAGACAAAACGATAATAACTACTAAACACTTACACACACAACCATAAAATTTAGGGTTTAAGTTTTTGTGATGACATCCCACTTAATAATATCGTCTTTTTTCAGTTGAGTTATGATTTACACACTAAAGTCTATTCATTACAATTTTGTTTTGATAATATCACATTTGATCAAATTAAAATCTCTTTAAGAATATTTCATGTGTTTGTTACAAGTTTAAAAAAAAATGGACTATAAATTAAAATAATCAATTCAAATGATAAATTTTTTGTGTAGTCTTTATGAAAAGAGTAGAAAATCAAGCCTAAGTACAACTACGAAATAAATAGCCAAACAAACAAGAAAAATCATGAGAGAAAAAAAAAGGCACCAGAAATACTCTAAAGCAAAGGAAACAATGAAACACAACAAAAAAGAACAAAGAAAACATGGGAACTAGGCAGAGACCAACAACACCAAGAATCGAGAAAGAAACATCTCGAGAGAACATGCTGAGGGAAAACAAGCAATGTCACGGAAATCTGAAGAGGGGTTTGTTGGCCATCCAACCCACCCTTATTTGCTTAAGTAGATAAGCGGATCCTGCTCCTAATGCAATAACGAAAAATTAGCGCCCAAAGCAAGCGATCAAAAAACATGCAACTAATTAGGCCCATGTAGTGATTCACTAACAACCTTCCTTCTTGGTTGTCAAGATCTCGATCTAGATCTTAAAATCTTAATATTTTATGATCTCACACACTCCCAATGATCCAGATCTTAAGTAGAATCGCGGGTTGTAGCCAAATTGTGAAAAAAAATTCAGTGAAATCATTGATTTGTACGATCTTTGCCAGATACGGCCATGATTGGCCGTTTTCCAACCACCGCCATTAAAAGGTGAGAAGGATGACAAGATGCGGAGACACAACAATTACAGTTCGGCAGGGATGAATTTGCACGTTTTAAAATGAAGCTTTAGATTTAGGGTTTAGAGAATAAACTTCTTTCTTGTAAGGTTTGTTCTAACTACTTCACTTATGAAGTTATGATAATCCTAGTACTTTACCATATATGTTCTTAATGTCTAAACATTAACAAATGTTCAATAAAACCTCAATCATAAATGTCTAAAGAATATGAAAAATAGTCATTTTCTCACTAATACACTTACCTACTAACATATATCATGTAAATCTACTTTAAATATATACTATTATTTTTTTCATTTTAGTACGATCTTACGATTTTTATTGCGATCTTATGTTTTATGATCTTGTTATCTCCTCTCGATCTTACAAAAATAATTGAGTAGAATCTTCCTATCTTTAACTACGATTTTATATTTTATAATCTTGTTATTCTCTCCCAATCTTAAAAAAGATCTCGTTTTGACAAATTTATTCTTAATGGAAAATTATTTTGTTTCACATCATTCAAATAGTCAAGACTACTCAATACTAAATCAAAACCAAAAAGCCACATTCTTACATGTACCAAAACCTTGAAACATATAAAACACCTCAATAATCGACACTAGGAGATGCCCAGGTCTCCCTACCCACCTAAATACCTTATGCTAGATTGTGGATGCAACTTCACAAAACACAAACAAGTAATACACCATTTCCATATCTTGTTTTCACTTTAGTCTTTTAAAACTAAATTTATGCTAAAACAAAGGATATATAATAACTTTTAAGTTTATAATATAACCGTCAAATAGATATAGATACAGATTTCTGTAATCACATATATTGTAGTAGGTCTCATATATTTGAACCACATATCAAAATATAAGATAATGAAGACAAAAAAATAAGAAGGTAATATATAAAAAAACATATAATTAACCAATGCTTCCATTTTCCATTGTTGTGCTACTTGTTCATTTCTTCATGCTCGTGTTTGCTTTGAAACCTGGTACAAAAACACCAAATTATTTCAAAACTTTATTTAGGTTTACACAAATAATTTGTTCCTTCCATTATTTGATGTTTACACACAATATCTTTTGTATAATTTTATTTTACAATATATTATGATACTTTTAATTATGTCTTTTCTATTATACTCTTAATTACCATTAAAAGTTGTTATTATTGGATGATAAAGAACCAAATTAATATAAGAGAAAAAAGGATAAATTAAAAAAAAAAATCACAATATTTTTTCAAAAATAAAAATAAGTTTTTTTTTTTAAATTACAAAAATAAATTAAAATTTTAACCAATTCTTATTTTAAATAAATTTTTAAAAATTGATTTGGTCACGAGGGCAACATATTTTTCCGCATAATTATAAATGTGATTTAATAATAATAATAATAATAATAATAATAATAATAATAATAATAATAATAATAATAATAATAATAATAATAATAATAATAATAATAATAATAATAATAATAATAATAATAATAATAATAATAATAGAAAATAAAATAATTTCTATACTATTAAGAAAATCAAGCTAAGTTTTTTCTTTTTATAATGGAGAATACTTAAATACAATTTCATAGATGAGTTTCGTATTTTTCTCCAATAAAAATATGATAAATATACTTAAATATCTTTTAAGGAGTAAAAATAAAAAGAAATTAAACATATATAAGAGAAATTATATACTTGTCATATTTTCATTAAAAAAAAAAGTATAAATCACAGCTAAAGAAATGTACTTAAGTTTTTTCCTTTTATAATAATAATAATAATAATAATAATAATAATAATAATAATAATAATAATAATAATAATAATAATAATAATAATAATAATAATAAAAATAAAATTCTTATGAATTATTTTCATATAATGTATCAAAAAATTATTTCAGTAAATTATTTAATAAATTTAAATTTATTATTTTAAAATGAAAAATAGAAAAACATTTCAAACATAAAATATAATAATAAAAACTGATAATTACCAGAAAATAGCTTTCACCATGCTGCAAGCTCTGCATCAAGATACCAAACTCATTGGTTGGAACTGACACTCCAGATGAATGAATTAACATAACATCTTCACCAAACACTGTTTTCATGTCAATTGCACCTCTTGCTACTTCTGTTGCAACTCCATTGATATACACTGTGATCAAACCTGAAACATCACTCCCCCCAAATCCTATACACCCCCAAAATTAATTAAAAATTAAAAAATTAAATCATCATCAATTATTACATACGCAATATAAAAATAACAAAAAGAAAAAAACAACCAACACAAAATATTTTATAGAGAATTTGATCAAATTTGTCTATATCTTTAACTACAACACGTATGTAAAAAGATTGGACTTTATAGTATTTAACTTATATTTCAATGTATTAATTATTATTTATTTTAATTGTAATTATAATTACGAGTGCAATTTTAATTCATTTTATTTAAGAATTATGATTGAATTTGATAAATTTGTTAAACTTTAACCTCCTCTTTGATGGAAAGGAAGAGGTTTCTTTTGTCATACTTTGCCTTGGAAAGCCAAATTGAAGGGCACAGAATCTCATACCAAATAAAGTCATAAAAGAGAGAAAAAAAGGTAGCAAAATTATTTTATTTTTTTACATTAATTTGGTATAATATAGCTAATATAAAGTTTGAATTTATGATGACATAATGTAAATAATCTAAATCTATCATATTAGTTCAATCTTAATGGCCTAGAAAAGAGTATAACAAAATTAGCAAAATGTAAAGAGAAAAACAAACTAGGGTTTATAAATTTATGTAATTAAGGAATTGGTTTTGGAGGAAAAACCAGAAAAGAATATGATGATGAGGAATAAAAAAGGAAGAACAGAAACTGAAGCAAGAAAAGTGAAATAATGTTTTTCTGGAAAAGAAAAAGTACAACTTTCATGCTTTTTTATTTAATCCCAGGAACTGTCAAATCATCAAAAGTGTTTGCACTTTTATTAATTCTTCCATCACTATCAAAACTAAATCAACCAAAAAATTACTACTTTTTTACAAAATATAAATAGGTCAATCTGAATCTACAAAACTTGTAATGGATTTTAGAGTATAATCAGCCTACATTCTAAACATAAAATTTAAATTAAATAGAATATTAATTGGACATAAGTATTAAATTAATTTTATATTAAGAAGAATAATATAGATTATAGTACTCATTTAGTTCTTAAAAAGGGGTTTTTTTCTTGAAGCAAAGCTGAAAAAAATAACTTTTTTTTTTAATTAAGGGGGGTTTGTTAATGAAGATGATTAAAAAATTGGAAGAAAGTTTACCAAATTAATTCATATAAGAAACAATATATATAAAAATTAAAAAAAATCGTATACAGATTTGGCTACTCCTTTACTTAATTGAACTCATGAATTTGTAAAAAAAGTCTTCTTTGTTCATTAAAAAATTGTGATTTTGTTCAAGATAAAAGCATAAAAAATATGAGATTTAATAATAACACAAAGATGTAATGTAATTAATACATTAATTTAAAACAATAAATTAATTACATACCTGAATGATGATAGTTCAAATTTAAAGCATGATCATGAGAAGGGTTCAAAACTGATGAAGCAGCAGAAGTATGACCAATCTCAGGAAAATTAATTTGAGAAGAACCTAAAAATAAACCAGGAAACCCTTCGATACTGACACCGACACCAACACCAACACCGGATGATGGAGATGAACTCGAAAAATTATGATTATAAGAAGAACCAGAAGGAGAGTTCATCATAGTTAGATCAGATGAACCACCAAAACCGATAGCAGCACCAACAGACATAATATTATTACTGTTGGTGTTGCACTGGTATTGGTGGTAAAGATTTGCACCGCCTCCTCCGGCTAATTCGGCTGCGGCCTGAAGCTGTCTCTGACGACGACGAGAGCGAGAGCGACGATTTTGAAACCAATAGAAAACATTAGCATCACCAACAGGTCCAAATTTTTCAAGAAGTTTTCTTATTCTAACAGTTTCATCTTTTGGTGGATTCACCATTCCGCTATTGAAAATGGATTCAAGAATGAGGATTTGTTCAGGTTTTGGTGTCCATCTTGATCTCACAGTTTCACTCTTTTCAGTGTTGTTTGGATTATTGGTGTTGGAACTTTGAGTCTCAACATGTTGTTTTTTTTGTTGATCTTCCATTCCAATGTGGAAGAAAGAAAATTAAGAAAATAAATGTTTTTTTTTCTCTATGAAATGTGATGAAACCTAGGTAGGTTAAATAATATACATATTTATATATGGTTGATGATGTGAGAGATGTGAATAAAGTACATGGAATACAGTAACACTGCTTTTGTTTGTTTTTATATAAATGTTGAATAGTTTGAATAGTTAAATTACATAAATATCCTTTTTGTTTTTATTCATTATTTCTCATGTCATGCATTGCAGTAAGTCAAAAAGACTGAAGGATTCTAGAGTACTCTTATTACAATATATAGTTCTCATTTTCTATTTAGTTTGGAAAATAAATTAATGTGTACTCGAGCTTTCGAGCTTTTTTCATGTTTTCCTTCATTCTTGATTATAACACTTTCTTTTTATTAACTTTTTTATGATCTAGAAATCAAAACTCCTTTTAAAGGTCGATAGAAAGCCAAATATATGACAATGTTTTTTGTTTCAAATGATAAATCTCTTAATCTATAATAAAGAATATACATGTTGCAAACAAAAAAATAAGTTAAGTCATTATTCTTTTTTAATAGTAAAGTCAAATCTTTTAAAAGTTATATTTATTGTTTTAGAGCACAATATTATTATGTATAAATTTTTGCAATTTTTATAAAAGATTCGTGGTTAGAAAATCAAAAGTGTCAAAGACAAATGGTATGTGTAAGATATTGAGATCAACCGTATGACAATAATACTATGAAGATTATTTTATATATAAAAAAGCATAGAGTTCATTACATGTTATAGTCTACGTGAGACTTATATACAAATATAAATATATATTCTATTAACAAATAAATACATATTCTACCACACCCTCGCAATCGAAGCGAGAGATTGAAGGACGTTAGTTTGGTTCGAAAATAATAAAAGAGAACTTTAGGGAGCCATTTGGTAAAGATATTGGCAATCTGGTGTCATGAAGGACATGAAGAACACGGGTTTGACCACGAGCAACCTTCTCCCGAACAAAGTGAATGTCCATCTCAATGTGTTTTGTACACTGATGCAAGATAAGATTGTCGGATAGGTAGATAACACTAACATTATCACAGTACACAAGAGTAGCCTAAGAAATAGGAAAATGAAACTCCAAGAGAAGGTTGTGGAGCCCGCATGATTCTGAAACCGCATTAGCAACACCTCGGTACTCAGCCTCTCCATTGGAACGGGAAAGTGTGGGTTATCGCTTAGAAGACCATGAAATTAGGTTATCATCAAGAAAATCTAATAACCCAAAGTCGACCGATGAGTGTAAAGACATCCACCCCAATCAGCATTTGCGTAGGAAGCAAGCTTCTCGATAGGAGAAGGATAGAGATGCAAACCATATTGTAAGGTGCCCTAAATGTAACGCATGATACGTTTCAGTGCAAGTATGTGCTCATGCAGGGAGCATGCATGTGAAGACATGCCTATTGAACAATATAAGAGATGCCAGGACAGGTAAATTTGAGATACTACAAAACACCAACAAGACTCTGATATAATGTAGGATCATCCCATGGAGTGCTGACAGAGGTACTAAGCTTATGATTTATGTAAACTAGAGAATTAGATGGTTTACATAAGGCCATGTCTGCTCGAGCAATAACGTCGCTAGCGTAGGTACTATGACTAAGAAAAAAAAATCCTTCTGCATGCTTGGTCACTACAATACCCAAAAGTAGCTCAGTGGTCCCAGATCCTTTATAGCAAACTCGGTGGCAAGGAGTGCCATGATAGATTTTCGTAGGTCATGAGAGGAGGTAATGAGAATGATGTTATCAATATAAAGTAAAATGTAAGCCATGTCGGAGCCACGATGGTAGATGAAGACTGAGTGATCAAAGGTGTTGTGCTGAAACTCAATGGTGGTGACAAAGTTAGCAAAGTGCTGGTACCCGGGCACGAGGTGCTTGCTTAAGACCATAAAGTGATTTTCACAAGCAACACACATAATATGGGTGATGAGGATCACAAAAAACTAGTGAATGATGCATATAGAATGTCTCATAAAGATCACCATGTAGAAATGCATTATAGATATCTAGTTGATAAATATGCCATGACTTGGACAGAGCAATGGTTAGAACAGTGCGAATAGTTGTTGGTTTGACCACATGACTTAATGTCTCATCACAATCTACACCTACAATGTATGACCTGCCATCACCTATTAGACGAGCTTTGTAACAATTAAAACAACCATTAGATTTCTTTTTATGATAGAAAATCCACATACATCGAATAATGTTAACATCACAAGGTCGTGGAACTAGATCCACCTATTATTCTTAATAAGAGCATTAAATTTAGACTACATTGTAGATTTCTAATTTGGGTCAGATAGGGCTAGTTTGGTATTTTTTGGAAGAAGTGAGATGGTCGGATCATTAATGGTAACAAAAAGATTAAAGAGTTTCTAAGTTTTTAGATACCCCACATGCTACGGGTGGCCATAGTCCTAGTAGATGGTGCTGGTTGGGCCAATGGTATAGGTGATGGGGAGGTATCGAGTGTAGTCATGAAAGGGGATGAGAATGTTGTGGCGGTGGAGGAGGTTTAAGAGGAATGATGTTATCCGGTGGGTGATATAGATTGATGGCCATGTATGAGATGGTTATTGGTAAGAGGTTGTAAGGTGGGATTTGTCAATTTATGGATAATAGATGGGTGCAAGTTATCGGTGAAGCAATCATATATGGTAAGAGGCGGGGAAGGTATGTGGGCAAAGGGAAACTGTGTTTTATCAAAGACGACATGTCGTGAAAGGATGATCTTTCTATGTGACAAATTAAAACATTTATAACCTCAGTGATTAGTGGGATACCCTAATAAGACACATAAGGTCGAGCATGGTTATAGTTTATTAATGATAGTGGATGGAAACAATGTATAATATGTTGGTTTTGAGTGCAACTAAGACGGGGATGAATAAAGTGGATTGCAGAATTTTATTCTTTTATGCGATTATGTTCTTATTTTCCTGGTTTGTGTATGAATATGAAACCGGTAAATGCAGAAAAACAAATAACACATGATATATCCTGGTTCCCCTCACAGTCCGAGAGTACTCCAGTCCCCTTTCAACATAAAAGAGATTTCACTATAGTTAGAATTATTGTACAACATATCCACACCAAGTGTGATGCTTACTATCTAACCTATAGGGATATCAAAGGCTCTTAAAACCTTTAAGATCTAAACACTAAGTGCAAGAAGAACAATCCTCTTCAATTCACACACTTGTTTCCAACAATCCTTAAAACAAGGTAACCAATACAAAGTAAAAAAAGAAAATAATCCTCCCTTAATACTCTTTTGCTTCCAACAATCCTGGACAACAAGGATACATCACAATAACTTTAGAAAACGATTAGAAACAAATTCTTGAAGTAGATACGAAAGTTTATAATCAATGTCAATACCAAGTATTTATCTCTTCTCTTTCAAGACAACAATTTAATGAATATATTACACAAGTGCTCAATGCATATTATGAAACTTTTCTAATGGTGTATTTGAAAATGTAAGAGTAAAAGTTTCATGCAAGATCATAATATTAATCAATGCACTTGTTTGAAAATGAGATACAAAATATTGTATTGTATGTTTTGTGTTGTCTTTTTTTTTGCATCAGAATTGAAAATGGAATTTATACATGTAATGCACCCTTTCAAAAGGTTCTAAATGAATGGAAGAGTGTAATAGTTCATGCCCACAAGTTTCAATTCAACAACCATCATAACAAAATTATTTTTCAAAAATGTTTCAGCAGTAGCCAATTACCAGAATGCAGTAACTGGTTACCCAGTCTTTGTAACATTCATGAATTTCAAAAACATGAAGTTGTAGCTGGTTACCAGAAGACAGTAAACGGTTACCACTGAATGAAAATTATTTTCCAGAAATATTTTAAAGCCTGTAGCTGGTTATCCATAACCAGTAACTGATTACCACTCTTATGGAAAGTGAAAAAACATTTCAAAAGACTTGAAAATGCAATGTTAGTGATCTTAAAGCCATGAAACATGTATGAAAAATGTTTAGACATATTTTGAGAACTATAGTAACATACTATATTTAATTAGAGTCTTGTACCATATTGAAGATCAAATACCAAAGTCTTCTTTAGGAGTAACTTAACATGCAAGCCAAAACTCTATTTTGAGTAGATATTTTTTATTCTTCTTTTTGATAATGTCTTTTTCCTTGATCATGATGTTTGTAGTCATCAAAACATAAACTTACTGAAGCATAACTCTACATTCTCCCCCTTTTTGATGATGAAAAACACTTGTTATTTGAAACGCTTTGGATTGCTTGAAAATATAATATGTCCCCCCTATCAATGATAACTCCCCCTTGATCAATGTTTCTCCTTGATTAATAGAGTATATTGACAATTTATGCAAGAGATAGAGACAAAGCATACACATATATCTTCTCCCCCTTTGTCATTAGCAAAAAAGAAGGGAAAAAGAAACAAAACAATATCATAATCAAAATAGAAGAATAGCATGATATTAGTTGACTTATCCTTTAGAATATTTTGTCTTAATCCTTCATCATGAAGTACTTATTCATTGGATATAAAAGTTAGTGCTTATCTTTTCCTTGACAATACTCTTTCATTTGATGTTGTCCTCATATGTGACACATTCCTTGGCCTATTAGATTTAAAAATTTGCTTATACCTCCCATCATATGCTTGGATCAACTACTTATTAAGAGATCAAGATTTTGAAGTGGTCTTCAAGCAAACCTACAAAACAAGTTAATTTTTGCTAGGTAGCCAATGTGATTTGGGTCTTTCATGGTTAGTTTCTTTCTTGACCCACACATAATTCTCACTAGTAACATTAAACTTTTTTGCATGACAAGCATTATGTGTGTGACCAATAATACCACAATATAAACAAGTAGGAAGAAAGTTGTTTGTAGCATAAGTTTTCTTTTTATAAACTATTTTCTTAGGATAA